CAACAGATCCCTGGTTAAGCCTAAATATCTTTGAGATCTTTGGCTTAGAAGGTCACACCACACCGTATACTCTCAGAACCTGTTCTGGTCGTGTAGAGACCTTTGGCAGAAGGATCGATGGATTCATGGTCTCTCATATCAAGGGTGGAGAAGGCATACCCCTCCCAACATTAGTTGAGTGTGATCAGATACCAGACGAAAGAGGAGAGATTCCTACTCCAGAAGCTGCATATCATCATCCTCACTTAAGGCACCTTGCTGATGAGATTCCTGCGATGGACAAGAGTGCTGAAATCCTGGTCCTGCTACATAAAGTACGCGACCAATGCGATGGACCTGTCGATGCCCCTTATGCACAAAGACTTGACCTAGGCTGGGTAATAGTGGGCAATGTATGCCTGGACAGAATGTCATCTCAGATCCACTCCTTCAAAACTTACATGTTGGGAAATGGACGTGCATCCCACTTCAAACAGTGCCCTCACCATTATGAAGTAAAGGAGAAGCCTCTTGACATCATCCAAGTACCTGATGTTACTCCTGTTCTTTGTGATGACAACCTAGGTACCACAGTGTTTTCTACTACAAGTGATGACAACAAAATAGCCTTGTCAGTCGAAGATAGAGAGTTCATCAAAATTATGGATGAAGAATTCTTCCAGGATGAGTCTAACAGCTGGATCGCACCATTACCTCTTCGTGCTGCAAGGGCCACACTCCCAACCAATCGTGAACAGGCTCTATCCAGATTCAACTCACTTCAACGAACACTAAAGAACAGGCCTGAAATGAAGGAACATTTCATCGCTTTTATGAAAAGGATCTTTGACAATGATCACGCCGAACCAGCGCCACCACTTCAAAGACACGATGAGTGCTGGTACCTGCCTTTCTTTGGAGTGTATCATCCACGTAAGCCAAAACAAATCAGGGTAGTATTTGACTCCAGTGCCAAGCATCAAGGCGTATCCCTGAACGATGTTCTTCTCAATGGCCCGAATTTAACCAACAACCTTGTAGGTATACTTATGAGATTTAGAAGAGAACCAGTTGCCATAACTGCTGATATTGAGCAAATGTTTCATTGCTTCATTGTACGTGAAGACCATAGGAACCTCCTAAGGTTTCTGTGGCACCGTAACAAGAACATGGACAATGAGATCATTGAATACCGCATGAAGGTACATGTTTTTGGAAATAGTCCCTCACCGCTGTTGCAACTTATGGTTTACGAAGGACTGCCCTTGATGGAGAAAAGGAGTATGGTGCGGATGCTCGACACTTCATTGAGAGAGACTTTTATGTTGACGATGGACTTAAGTCTTTACCTACAGACGAAGAAGCCATAGATCTGCTCCAAAGGACACAAGGTATGCTTTCTGAGGCTAACCTCAGACTACACAAGATTGCCTCGAATAGTGTCGCTGTTATGAAAGCCTTTCAACCTGGGCGATCATGCCACTGGGTTTAAAGATTTAAATCTTGGGATGGACATGCCACCTGTACAGAGAAGTCTGGGCCTACGGTGGGACTTATTAAAAGATACCTTCGGCTTTCAAGTCGGCTCTGCAGACAAACCATTTACCAAGCGTGGTGTTCTGTCAGTGGTGAACAGCTTATACGATCCATTGGGATTTGTGGCTCCCATCACAATACAAGGTAAAGCCTTACTTAGACAGTTCTCAGAGTCTATTAAAGATTGGGAGTCCTGGAAACAATCTCTACATACCTTAGATGGAATCAGTATACCACGCTGTTACACCTCAGCTTCCCTTGCTACAAGTCAGGGAAAAGAGCTTCACATCTTCTCAGAAGCATCTGCCATAATCAATTCAAGACCACTTGTTCCAGTTTCTACAGATCCAGAGACCCCAACTATCCTTACCCCAGCTACTCTACTTACCCAGAAGCTTGGGTCCGTTCCTGTTCCACCTGGAAACTCTTTAAAGCAGGAAATCTGTGCTATGACCAGTGGAAGCGAGTACAACACCTCTCCAACCGCTTCTGGAATCGTTGGAGAATGGAGTATATTTCTACTCTGCAAAGACGCAGAAAATGGCAACGCTTGAACCCTAACATTAAAGTTGGAGATCTCATTCGGCTGAGGGACCAGCAAGCTGAAAGAATCGAGTGGCCTATGGGACTCATTGTAAAGAGCATTCCTAGTGATAACGGCAAGGTACGCAAGGTGGAGGTGAAAGTTGCAAGACAAGGGACTGTAAAGACTTTCAGCAGACCTATCACGGAACTTGTTCTGCTCTTGCCCTTTGGAGAATGAACTTGCTTGCGTATGCTGCTGGATCCAACCAATGACTTCAAGAAGGAAGTGTCTTGAACTTTAATTGATACAACTTGAAGCCTTACGTTATAATTGTTGCACTATATGCATGTTTTCTTTTTTTATGTCTTTCAGGTCTTCAAGACATCAAGCAAATTGCACTGTTGTTTATTTGCAATTGTATAACTACCGTTATGGTTTAAATAGTGACATTTACAATGCCAGACGGGGAGTATGCTGTTACACAGTTAATATTTATGTTAATGTACATGAGAATTCATATAGTTTATTTTTTTGTACCATTTCCTATGGACATTTCTATAGTTAGTTATGCTGCCATCCAGTGGCCTTATTTGGTAATGCATTTGTTTTATGTTGCCTCCCTTAGATGTATGACACAGTTCCTTTGTATATGAAGCTCCTCCCTTCTTCTTGAGTTCAGCACTTCCTGTGTCATGGAGGCAGCTAACAGACCACATGTAACAGGGACACATGTATTCTGCATAGTACGCTACAGAAAGTATCATCTTTTGACCGCATAATACTGGAAACCATTCATTCTGCTGTATCCTGTTGTCACATGTACAGAATAAAGCAACTTCTGGATGAACACAGTATTGGTGAGTTCAAGCTATCTGATAAGGATTGTCCTCAGTGGTTATATCTGCTTATACAGGCTAGGCAGAGAGGTCTCACAAGGGATAAATCGCTATCACAATAATCTGAGTCAGAATACTGTGGGTGTGCTTCTGAGCCGGACTGTGTGTGTCCATAGACACACCGCTCAGCTCAATGGCTCCCACTGCTCTCAGAGTCTCCTGTGAAGCCAGTTAGAGAGAGCAGTGGTGCTGCAGATGAGCACAGTGCTGCTAGATAAAGAGAGGTAAGCATTTAGGGAGCGGTGGGGGGGGGGGGGGGGCAGGTAGTGGAAGGTTTTTTACCCTAATGCAGAGAATGCATTAGGGTAAAATAATATTTGAAGTTTTTATCCACTTTAACCTCCCTAGTGGTATGATTATTTCACATTTTTGGTGCTGAAGCGGGTGGGCGGTACCATTATTTTGCATGGAAATACGTAGTTTTTTATTGTAGGCTGTAATATTTAGGAATAACTCACTGAAATCTGTCCGAACAAGAGTCTATTAAACATCCCGGGGGTAGGATAAAATTTGAAACACAAAATCATAAATTATAATTTAATAAATAATCATAAAAAATAATAATATAATGATAATAATACATTTAATTCAATAATATAATCAAACCAAAAACACTGAAATTTGAAATATAGCGCCAAGTTCGCACATCACTGAGCAAAGTCGCAAAATTGTTTTCAGTGTTTGATGATGAATTTCCCCACGAATCATTATCACTCAATTCTGCAAGTGGTTCTGATTTTACTATCATTGTTCTCTAGGTGGTCAAAAACCGCTTTTGACCTAAAGGGACACTTTTTGGACGCCATGGACTTTTCTAAGCTTCCAGGCAGAAAGAACAGTCAAAATGCAGACAGGGGACAGGACAAAGCACTAGGGACAAAATGTATGTGAAATGGTTTGAAACAGCAATGTTTTACTATGCAAAATTCATTTTGAAAAAAATGAAATTTTTTTTACATTTTCAAATTTCCCGCCGCCGGCGCCCGTACGTCCCGACGTCACAGGGACCGGAACACAGAAGCCGGATGCCGGCATCGGCCGGAGGAGATGGCCGGGGACGCTGCAGGGGACACATCGCGGGAGCGAAGGACTCCCTATGCAGCGCCGCATGGTAAGCCCGTGTGTAGCTCGGGGTTACCGCTTTTGGTACTGACATTTTACCCCGAGCTACACTCGGGAATACCGCTAGGGAGGTTAAAGTGATTCTAAAACGAAAACTTTATTTTCTTTAAAATAAGAAACATTTTATACCTACCAGCTCTGTACAATGATTTTTGCACAGATCAGTCCTCATCGATCTCTTCCCGGGTCCTCTGGCTCCTCCCCTTGATGAGTGCTCCCATTGCAGCTTGCTTTGGCTGCAGTAATGTGTGCTCACTCTCAAGCTGGTTGTCACCTCATTATTATTATTATACAGGATTTATATAGCGCCAACAGTTTGCTCAGCACTTTACAATATAACGGCAGACAATACAGCAACAATGCAGTTCAATACAAGAGGGATAGGAGGGCCCTGCTCCTTGGAGCTTATGAAAAGAAGTGACTGAACAAGGGCTTCTATGGCAGGATGACCAGGTATTCTTTTAATAAAAGCGGCAAATTTGAATGAATTGACAATAACTTTTGAAATGACATTAACATGTTAAGGAAGATGTTTAAACTCTAAAACTCTTACTATTTAAATGATGTGGCTCACAATTTAAATACCTCAAACACCCTTGGACACTCATTGATGAAAATTTAGAGACTGGGGCAAACAGAATCTGAAGCAGCTGTGCATGCCAACCAGTCAGCTTCAAGCTTTTATGTTCAAAGCTTAACTGAACAACATGAAACTACAGGATGATTGGTTGCTGTGCCAGCTGGCCTAGATTATGTCTGCTACAGTCTTAGTAAATCCCTCATAGCCTTTTAGCATACCTGTACGTCAGCCCGTATCGACTGCTCCAGTTCACAGCTCGGCTATACCAGTGCCATAATCATGTCCATACGCCATACCAGCGCCCAGATCACCACCATACACCACAGCAAGGTACTGATCACTGCAATACCAGTGTCCTGATCACTGCCATACGCCATACCAGCACCCTGCTCCCTGCCATACACCATACCAGCATCCTGATCATTGCCATACACCATACCAGCACCCTGCTCCCTGCCATACACCATACCAGCATCCTGATCACTGCCATACACCATACCAGCACCCTGCACACTGCCATACACCATACCAGCATCCTGATCACTGCCATACACCATACCAGCATCCTGTACACTGCCATACACCATACCAGCACCTTGATCACTGCCATGCACCATACCAGCATCCTGATCACTGCCATGCACCATACCAGCACCTTGATCACTGCCATACACCATACCAGCACCTTGATCACTGCCATACGCCATACCAGCATCCTGATCACTGCCATATGCCATACCAGCACCCTGCACACTGCCATACACCATACCAGCACCCTGCACACTGCCATACACCATACTAGCATCCTGATCACTGCCATACACCATAAACAGCACCTTGATCACTGCCATACACCATACCAGCACCCTGCTCACTGCCATACACCATACCAGCATCCTGATCACTGCCATACACCATACCAGCATCCTGATCACTGCCATACACCATACCAGCACCCTGCTCACTGCCATACACCATACCAGCATCCTGATCACTGCCATACACCATACCAGCACCTTGATCACTGCCATACACCATACCAGCGCCTTGATCACTGCCATACACCATACCAGCACCCTGCTCACTGCCATACACCATACCAGCACCCTGATCACTGCCATACCCCATACCAGCACCCTGATAACTGCCATACACCATACCAGCGCCTTGATCACTGCCATACACCATACCAGCGCCTTGATCACTGCCATACACCATACCAGCACCCTGCTCACTGCCATACACCATACCAGCACCTTGATCACTGCCATACCCCATACCAGCACCCTGCTCACTGCCATACACCATACCAGCACCCTGCTCACTGCCATACACCATACCAGCACCCTGATCACTGCCATGCATCATACCAGCACCCTCCTCACTGCCATACACCATACCAGCATCCTGATCACTGCCATGCACCATACCAGCACCTTGATCACTGCCATACCCCATACCAGCATCCTGATCACTGCTATGCACCATACCAGCACCTTGATCACTGCCATACACCATACTAGCATCCTGATCACTGCCATGCACCATACCAGCATCCTGATCACCGTCATACCAGTGTTCTGATTACTCCACATTCCATACCAGTATCCTGATCACCCCCCATACCACATACCAATGTCCTTATCACCACCATACCTCATACTAGAGTTCGGCATTTTAGGGTCTAAACTGATCAATTTTCAGATATATATCCCATAGTTTGTAGGCTCTATAACTTTCACACAGACTAAATTATATACACTGTTTTGGAGGTATTTTTACATAAGAATGTAACAGAATACATGTTAACCTACATTTATGAATAAATATATTATTTATTTGCAACATTTTATAACAAAAACTAAGCAAAAATATTTTTCTTTAAAAATTTTCGGGTATTTTTTCATGTACTGCATATAGCAAAAAATGAAAAACCCAGTGGTGATTAAATAACACCAAAATAACGCCCTCCTAACCCTTACGTATTTAATATTTCTGTTCCACTTGATATTAACTGATTGTATTCTAGAATCTCTAAGAAATGCATACTTCATATAGTGAGCTCCAAGGAGCAGGGCCCTCCTATCCCTCTTGTATTGAACTGTATTGTTGCTGTATTGTCTCCCTTTATATTGTAAAGCGCTGAGCAAACCGTTGGTGCTATATAAATCCTGTATTATGATAATAATAATAATTTTAAAAAAATAAAGCTGTCTCAAAAAAAATGCTAAAAAATGTTATATGTGTACAGGGTTGCATGACTGAGTAAATGTCATTCAAAGTGTGATAGTGCTGAAAGCTGAAAATTGGCCTGGACTGGAAGAGAGTGAAAGTTTTCTGGACTTGAAGTAGTTAATGCAAACATGAATAAAGCGACCATGTTCCAAAAAGGTTTAAAAAGACACTTTCTGCAAAGAAAGGGGTTAATATTTATCTGTCCCACTGCTTGTGCTGCTGATCTTCAGTGTCTTACAGAGCTACACTGGCTGTCTGGGTGTGTTGGGTGCCTGGTCCCTCAGCTCCAGTGTCCACTGACCCCAACGTCCTGTGATGGCCTAGGACCCAAAAGACCTAATCACAGCAAAATATATAGTAAATTTGGGTATTTATTACCACAGTACAAGCCAAATAATATACTGCGCATATAATGTATCATCATAGAGCAGCACAAATCAGAATTTGTATCTCCAAGCCTTTTAGGCATGCTCACCTTCTGATATATGTAAAGCTGTCTCTCTACTGTCATGAATAGTAATGCAAAAAGAAAATGAATATGCTTTGTTCTGGGTCACTGTTATGCTAATAAAGTTGTTCAAACAACAAGAAAATGACTTCATTACATTGAATTTGAAGGAAAGTGGTCATGACGAACACATCGCCATGGCGACACCTAAATTATGGCCTGAATGTTAGGCGGAAAATCTTCTCTGATTTATCAATGCCAAAGTGGACTGCATGAAAGTCTTGTCGTACATTTGTAATTAGGAAAGCCATTTTTCCCCATGGTAACCTATTACCCAACTGAAAACTTAAAAAAAAACATTTTTAATATGCACGGCTCATGGATGTACATGTCTATGCGGCATATTTCATCTGAACAGAGTTTTTGGAATAGAATATTGATGTGCAAAATTCTGTAGCCCGTAGAAACTGGTTATACACAAGTGCCCATCTGAAGAGACCTGAGTATTCTGAACTCTGATTGGTTGCCACGGGTTGCTGACCTTTTCAGGTTAATTATTGCTGTTTTCATTGGTATACTAATGCTGCCCTTTTCCCTTGGATCCTATTTATGCAACTGCAAACTGGTTATTATGCATATTTTCAATTTCCAGTTTTTCCATTTACACATTAAACCTACAGTATGTATACTGTAAATGGATGTTTGATGGTGGATTTCCCCATTGTCACTCACTGGAGCAGTGTTTCTCAACCAGGGATCCCTTGGATCAGTGTCATGAGTTTGTAGAGTACAAACATGCCAGCTTCCAGCACCATACAAACCAATGACACTCTAGGGCCAGGATGCACAGAGTCATAGGTTGATTTGACCTTAGATTGTACCCCCCTTTAGGGTTAGGGACTGATGTGAATGTACAATATATATATATATATATATGTAGAGCGCTGCGTAAATTGACAGCGCTATATAAGTGCCTGAAATAAATAAATAAATAAATGGTGGTGGCTGCACTATAGCAATGCATGACTCTGATCCAGGGAAGGCAGCATTCAGAATGCAGAGCCGTTTCAAACATTCAGAAGCAGAGAAGAGTCCAATTTCTCCAGACCTTGTTCACCTTCCACCCTCTGCCATGCTGCTGGAACCAAAAGGAGGTGCTCAGATGTGAAGAGGGGACTGTGTGATTGGGGGCTGTACTTCTGTCACAGGGATGGGAGGATCAGGCAGCGGCTGCAGCACTGGGAACATATTAAATGTTCCAACAAAAACATGTGGAACATATAACATGTTTCTAAAGGTGAACTTATCCTTTAAACACGTCCTGCAATTAAAATGGAATACTATAGGGGATTATGAAAAAAATTGCTGTGCTAGTAGCCATAATATATTAAGAACTTTATTGTCAGACAAGATGGTCATAATGTACGCAGCCTGGTAAATCATAGTTTATCTTGATCTTGGGCAGTGACGTCAATGTAACATTGATTTAGGCAAAAGGTCTTCCACTGTCTACCTTGAGATCACTTATAGTATCATTTCATAGAATTCATTGTTTGCTTAGGACTTTATTTTAGCTATTTTGACACATGGAAATGTGCCTTCTGGGCATGCAGTATTGAGTAGAAGTATTGGCTATTGTCAGAGATATCAGATAATATACCTTTGATTGAGAACCATTTTTCTGTCTTTTCATCCAAAAGAGGTTTGCCCATTATTGTTCGAGTGAACTGTTCCCTTTTTTCCATTAAATTTTCACCAAACATATGGTCTTCTATCCTTCACATTAATGTATGCAAACTGCCTACATCTTTTGACCATGGTGGACTCTGGTGCGCACTTAGGTGTGTTTCATTCTCTGCTCTATGACCAGGGGTATGAAAAGGGTGTGTTTTTCACCTGAAAATGTGTGTCATCCCATTGCGCTAAGCGGCATGAATAGACTCAGAGAACGCCCATACAAAGACAGCTAATTGCATTGTGTTCACAGCACATTAATAGATATTTTGCAGATGATTGAGAGCAAAGCCCCATAAACATTTATCAAGAGATAAGTTATGATAACAGATGTATGACTCACCCTATTATTCAATCAGCCAAGAACAACTATAATTTATTGCAAAATATCTCCATACTGTTTACTGACTCAAGGAAATCCTTCTGCAAGTCTTTCTGGATGTGCTAGGAAAATGAAAGCTGCAATATTATTGGATGCTATGGGCAGCAAAGGTACTTTGCTCTTTTTGTTTTTTCCATTTATTGCTTAGACTTTTTTTCTCAGATCACTGAGCATTTTTGGTGACTGTTACATTACGTTGTTGCATTTTACAACTTAACCACTCTTACCATAAAGAATAACTTCCTAAATCGTTGGTAAACTCTACATTCCTCAATTGCCGCCTTTGTATGGTCTTTGCCATACATTTTTAAAGCAAATGTGTAAAAATAAAAAAAAAATAGTAAACTATTAGTGACAAGGTTCAGGGTCCCAAGGGTACAGGGGTGATGGAGGCCAGACGAAGCACTAGTTGTCACCGTATATCAAGCAGGCTGGCAAATTATTGCAAGAAATCAAAGTTCCCAATCTGGACACAGCAACCGAAAACAATACAGTACAGTCACAGTCCTATTTTATATTTAATATCATTGGGTGGATAGAAAAGGATTACAAAAAGTTACAAAAAAAAAAACAGTTGTAATTGAAAAGTTATAAATACATAGGCAAACCGTATTAAAAATAAAACGAAAAATCTTGAAGAAAAATAGTTTTACTACTTCTGGGATTGGATGAAAACACATATAGTAGGTCATAAGCTCCAGCATACATGAGAACCCTCAGATATGACCAAGCATTGATTGCAGATCTCCATTTGTATAATTTGGAGGACTAAGTGAGTTGCCATCCACTCAGACTACTGAATGTAATAGCCTGGCCATTACACCAAGTAGGATTCTGGTTAGCAAAAACCTAGAACACTCATAACTGATATGAATGACAAATCTGAAAATAAAAGTAATGGCTTTAGCTGTTATTCTGCTATGCGTAAACACCAAACATGGATGCTTTACCAGTGGCGTCCCTAGAGTTGATTTTACTTGGTGTGGTGTCAGTACCCCCCCCCCCCCCCCACAGCAGGACAGGCAGTAGGGCACTGAGCAGGCTAGCACATTGGCACTGCTCTCCCCCCATTAATGTCCTCAGTGACCCAATTCCTGTCCTTAGGACCCCATTACTATCCTCAGTCCCCCAGTTCCTGTCCTCAGGCCCCCATTACTGTCCTCAGCCCCCCATTACTGTCCTCAGCCCCCATTATTGTCCTCAGTAACCACTAATGTCCTCAGCCCCACCATTACTGTCCTCAGGCCTCCTTTACTATCCTCACCCCCCCCATTAATGTCCTCCATTACTGTCCTCCGTCCCCCATTACTGTCCTCAGTCCCCCAATTCCTGTCCTCAGGCCCCCATTACTGTCCTCAGTAACCACTAATGTCCTCAGCCCCACCATTA